TAACCGAATGAAAACAGGTATTTTGCCATTTCAGACCTGGAGTTCTAGAAATAAATTTCCATACAATCAAAGATGATACCCTTTTTGAAAGCAGAAGAGATTTTTTTATATCAGTTTGTTCAGTTGGGTATTCAGACACAAGAAATGTTATGGGGCGTTTTTACTATTTGATCCATTGGGATTCATTAGCAATATCAGTCTGGCTATCTGAATCAAGTTAGCAGAGAACTTTGGGCATGACAGGCTCTATTGATAAAAACCCTGGTTTGAGCTTCTAGTTATATAATGAAGAAATCTATGATATGGTACAAATTATTTATTTAATTATTGGATTGAACAAAGAAACAAACCAGTTCACCCATTTATCCATTTTGAACTAGGGGAATTTTAAATTAATGTTGTTTTCTTGTTGTTATATCTTAACGGTAAGTCAGTTTTGACAGTGATAAGCTGTTATTGGAGTCAAGTTGGGGAACGCTACCCAAGCACTCCCATTTATTTTTGTCTCTGCCAACAGTAAGAATTAAATCAGTAAACTTCTAAGCATCTACGGTGTTAGAATATTTAAATCTTGCTTTGGATCCAGTACTACACAGACCACAGTTTATTTATTCATTCAATTTACATGGCTCATCTCAAAAAAGTGACTCTACAACAATTAAAAACCCTCAGCAAATGAATGAACAAACCAAGCAAAAAGAATAGGTCAGTATCCACTAGCATACTTGTTTATTCTGAATGATCCATAATTTTGGAGAATTCTGTTTTACATTATATTGGAACCTACCTAATCTAGTCTTGTAAATAAAGGCCTGAACTTCAGAGTGATTGTGACAATGGTGGTTAATGTTTTTGTTTATTTTTATCCTGTAAAAAATAGGAGAGGATGAAGGAAGGAAGGTACAAAAGTAATAAACACTTCCCTCTTCTCTGCATCCTGGTATTTGAGTGCACAGTGGTACCTCTACTTACAAACTTAATCCGTTTCGTGACTCTGATCGCAAGTCGAGTTGGTCGCAAGCCGAAGTAAATTTTCCCATAAAGTTCAATGTAATTACCGTTAATCTGTTCCGGTGTCCGCGGACCATGCGTCAGGGGCATAAAAACGGCTGGGGAGCACCAGGCGGGGGGGGAAAATGGGCGG